TATTTTGTTTTCTTTATTTTTTTAGGGACGATAGAGTAAGAAACCATTCCTGTTGATGCTCTGTAATGATAATTCTTCAAAAAAAGCGAAAGCAGCTGGGAATTGGAATTTTCCCAAATGGAGTGGGTTGTTGTATGCCAGTTTGTTTCCTAGTGGCTTCCTTTTATTTTCTGGGGGTAGTTACAGGTTTCTGGCTTCGAACTCGGTTAAGATCCATGATGGAGACAGGACAACGCTTCTTGGCTTGTAGGTTCCACAATCCGGCGTGGTTAGAGCCGCTCAACCTCCGTGGGGCTGTCATGTCCGCCACAACCGCAGATACTATGAATAACATCAGCAGTTTTAAAAGATGTGATACTCTCGAGTTAATATCACGTAGTAATTACGCACTATTGTACGACAAGAATCTCAGAATGGCCTTGTGGTGTGGTTTTTACTTGAATTCACGAATGGTGAGGGCGGCGCGTCTTCAGCGCAAAACACATGTTTGTTATACCGACAAGACCCTGCCAAAGGAAATTCAGGTGCAATCGAGTCACATGCAAAGACGCGCGTACGACAAAGGGCATATGGCCCCACTTGCATCTGTGGCAACGTGTGTCACCACTGCTTTTGAGGCTTCTTTGGTTTCCAATTTTGTTTTACAACATAAGGCACTTAACCGAGGAATATGGAAACGATTAGAACACCTTTCACGCTGTTATGTGGAAGGCTACGGTTTCTCGGCCTTGGGCGAGCTATTTACTGCGAATCAATATGATGAACCGTTGCTTCCATTAGCAGGGCGAAATACTTGGAATTCTTCTAGGTGTCTAGCGGTATCAACGGGTGTTTTGTTTAGGAGTGAAAAAAATTCCCTAAATTGCTTGCTTCAACAAGAGAAACAAGCTGTTCCTATTCCAGATGAGTTATATATGGCTTTATGGGACGTTCATTCGCATCAGCATATTGCTTTTATTGTACCTAATGATGAAACTGCCGCCATAAGATCGTTAAAGCCCAAACGTTTACATGCAAAGGGACAAAAAGGGCGAGTTTCCCCTGTAAAGAAAACTAGAATTAGAGGGTTTGCACCGCTACACAAGCATATTCAAAATCCTTTAGATAAAACGGATCTTTCTGATATAAACCGTTTTCGTGTAACACTAAAAGAGTTGGAGCATCGCATAGCTCTGTCGGAGCGTGTTATCGCGGAAAAGCTGCTTTGTATACCCCATGGTGCGCGAGGAATAGAATCTATTAATGCTACAAAGTGCTTGGGACGAAAAAATTGTGTCGTAGAGTATCAAACACCACCTGTAGAGCTATTTTCTCTGCAAAAGAGAAGGCGGGCTTGGAAAATGGCTTTTACCCGGTCGTTTTTGTTTGCTTGACTGCCTTGTAAACCTAAATCAATGATTTTTCCTGCCAAATTCACTCCCTTTGCGCGTAAGTTTCAGGAATAACAAAGACGAATGATCTGTTTTCATCAATACTTGAATGCTGAAAAGTTAGAAATGTAACTCTGCGGCATATATGTATATATATAATTGGTGGGACTTTACTGGCGCCTCAAAGTTATTATTTTGTATTTGTTGCGCGTAATATTAATGATGGTAACAAATTTGTTTTCCACTTTGTATAGTTATGGAAAAACAGGGTTGTGCTGGGTGGGGAGCGGGACGCGGGAATTATTACTATTATTATTATTATTTTCTTTCTACGGACTCCATCGTATGTCACGTTCCTTTTTTTAATTTGTCTTTTGCTTTATTACTGGTTTCATTCCCGTGTTTGTTTGCTTGTTTTTTTTTTATATAACATTGACCGGCTTTGGTGATGCAATTGTGTTGCTTTTTGAGTTGTTATTGCCCTTGTATTTTGCAGTTTGTTTCCAGATAAACAGTTACTAATAACGGGACCTTGCGCCGGCGTGCGTGTACCCTTAAGTTGTTGTTGTTTTTTGTTTACTTGTGGTAGAGCCCCACTTTGTGTAATTTTCCCTTCCTCGCTCTTGTCTTGTCTTGTTCTTTTTGTTGCTTTTTTGTTTTCATCCTCTGTCCTTCTGAGTTAGAAGTAAAAGCGAGCGAGCGAGCGAGGAAGAAAGCGAAAAAGAAAAAAAAAATTACCAACAACACGCATATATATTTATTAAAGGCAGAGAGAAGAGGGAAAAATGGCGCACGCGCGAAACATTCTCCCTGACGATCCCACGCCGCACCATTACAAGGTCAGCATCTTGCCGGACTTTGAGGCTTTTTCCTTCACGGGCCACGTTGATATACAGGTGACGGCAAAAAAAGCTCAAAAAAGTATCACTCTCAACTACAATGAGTTATCCTTCGTCAAGGTGACTCTTACTCGTGCAGGGAAACCCTCGGAAGTGGAAACAATTCCTACAGAATCCATTCTTCTCGACGCAGCGGAAATGAAGGTGACATTTCCTCTCCAGCAATCTTTTGTTGGAGAGGCCGTTCTCTCAATTGACTATACGGGATGTATCAATGACAAGCTAGCTGGCTTTTACAGGAGCAAATACACGGTCAAGGGAAAAGAATGCTACATGGGCACCACGCAGTTCGAGGCTGTGGATGCACGTCGTGCAATCCCTTGCTGGGATGAGCCGGCAATAAAAGCGGTGTTTGAAATGATTATTACCGCTCCGTCCAATATGATGGTGCTTTCTAATATGCCACATCAGCATAAGGAAGAGGTTGGTGATAAGATTCGTTGGACGTTTAGTCCCACCCCTAAAATGTCAACCTATCTACTTGCCTGGACGATTGGTGAGTTCGAATATATTGAGCGACGCATTAAAAAAACGCATGGAACCGAAAATGGTCAGTCGGAAGACACACTTGTGCGTGTTTTTACGCCTGAAGGGAAAACTTTCAAAGCTTCTTTTGCCTTGGATGTTGCTTGCAAAGTATTGCCACTCTATGAAGAATTCTTCGAATCCAACTACATATTACCCAAAGTTGACCTTCTTGCCATACCTGACTTTGCTGCGGGTGCAATGGAAAATTGGGGTCTTATCACCTACCGTGAAACAACTCTTTTATGTGATGAAAGCTCAAGTGCATTTCATCGTCAGTATGTTGCTATTGTAGTGGCACACGAGTTGGCGCACCAGTGGTTTGGTAATCTTGTGACAATGCAGTGGTGGAAAGAACTTTGGCTTAACGAGTCTTTTGCCACTTACATGGAGTATTGGTCTATAAACAAATTGTTTCCTGATTGGCATGTCTTTACACAGTTTGTACATGAGGAAATCACGCAAGCTTTTAAATTGGATTCGTTACGAAGCTCGCATCCTGTGGAAGTGGATGTTCAGAATGCAAAGGAAATTGATGACATTTTTGATGCAATCAGCTACAGCAAAGGTGGGAGTATCGTCCGTATGGTGGTTAACTTTATTGGAGAAGCTGCCTTCCAGAAGGGTATGACTGCGTATTTAAAGCACTTTGCATATGGAAATGCCACAACAGAAGATTTGTGGAACTTTTTGGGGAAAGCAGCCGGAAAGCCGTTGGCACCTATCTTGGAGTTTTGGACGAGTAAGCAAGGCTATCCATTTCTTACGGTTACCTCTTCGCCGGATAAAAAAACACTACAAATAACCCAAAATCGTTTTCTTGCCACTGCCTGCGCCTCTGACAAGGAGGACGAAACTGTCTGGAAGATCCCTTTGCTGCTTGCCACACCAGAACATGGTGTTCAACGTCATGTTTTGGAGGAGCGAGAAAATTCTTTGCCGTCCCCACATCCTTCATGGGTGAAAGTAAACAGTGACCTCTCCGCATTTTGTCGCGTGTTGTACGGGAGTGAGGATTTGCTCCAAAACTTACTTTCTGCTCTGGCGATGAAAAAACTATCTAACATTGATCGACTTAGCATTATTTCTGATTATCATGCCTTTGCCCGCGCTGGATATTGCAGCGCGGTTAAGGTGTTGAAACTACTTTCATACTACGTGGAGGAAGACGATTTCACAGTATGGTGCTCTATTATGGACTTTGAAACCGAATTGAAAGTCGTTGTGGCGACTCAAGGCAAGGAAGCTGTAAACGCGCATAACGCTTTCTGCCGAAAATTGTACTCCCGTGCCATGAAGAAAGTTGGTTATACCTTCAAAGCTGATGATGATCATAACGTGGTACAATTGCGCACCGCACTCTTCTCGCGCCTTGTGGCCGCCGAAGATGAAGAAACTATTGCACACGCCCTTAAATTATATACAGAACGCCACACGACGCCAATAAATTCAGATCTTCGCTCCGCTGTCGTCAGTGCCTTTCTTAAGCGGAATGACAGAGCTGCGTTGGATGAGGTGAAGATGCTTGCCGAGACGGCCTCGGATGCGATGGAACGAACACACTATCTTCGTGCAATGGCTTCTTCAAAGGTTGATGGCTTGGTGACTGAACTATTTGAATATGCCCTTTCTGGCAAGGTTCGCAGTCAAGACATTGCTTACGTCCTTGGCCCTCTCGCTGCTAATACGGAGACGTTCAAAGCATATGCAAGCGAACTCAAGCGCATGTGGCCGGCGCTTGGAATGAAACTCCCCGGACTTATCCTAGGTCGCGCACTAAAGTTACTTGAATATGGGGCTGAAAATACCGTGGCAACTGACATGGAAGCCTTCTGGAATAAACTTGACGAGAATGAAAAACTGGGTATGTCGCGCAGCTTCCAGCAGGGAGTTGAGGGGATGCGCAACAATGCAGCCTGGGCCTCCCGTGACGCCAAGGAGGTGGCAGAATTTTATTTTGAAGCCTAGATGTAGGCGGTTTTTGTTACCCCCACTTTCATTCCAATTCTCGCTTAAAGGGAGTATTTGAGTAGCGCCGTGCCCTTTGCACTGTTCTCATCATGGTTATTTATTGATGTTTGGCGTTGCATGAGGAAAGAATTTGCGAACAACACTAAGAAAAGTAAAGATAGCTGATAAGAATACAAGCGAAGAAACAAGGGTGGAAGCGTAGAACCATCGACAACTTTTTTTTTTTTCAATTGTTCATCTCAAAGGAATGCGAGTCTAGATGGGGCAATGCAGGCGATAGTGCAACGCTGTGCATGCTTTTTATTTTGCATTGTTTCTCGGTTTTACTCATTTTTATGCGAGCGCGGTGGAAGGTAGGGGCTGGATATTATTACTATTTTTTTTTGTGGCCTTCCTTATCCCTATTGCTCTACTTCCGCCATTATATTCCACGTGGAGGGATGCCGACCGGTGCGGGGCCGCAACCGGTGCCAATCCGTATGCTTAGAATGAGCCCGTTTATAATCGCCCCATGCTTTCTGAATACATTCTCTGTACTTGTGGGTGAGTGCTGGATAAAGCAAGTGCTCTTTTGGAGGGGGATGCTGGGCGCATTGGTCCAACTATTTTACTTTTTTTTATTGTTATTTTCCTTCTTTCTCTAGGAATATTTTACCCCGTAATTTTTAGGTGCATTTTTTTTGTTTGTGGCGTATTTTTATCTGATGCTCAAATTGTGGGGCGATGATTTGCGCTCTTGAGTGGGACATGTTTTTTTTCCTGGTGCGTTTTTGTTGGTCATGTCATGGGGCGTATCTGTGAATGTTGATACATATACTTATGGACGCGTTATTTACAATGATTCTTTCCCATTCTCCCCCGCTTGC